GGCACATACTGCAAACAAAAAATACCTTAGGATAAGCAATTTGTCAAGGAGAAAGAATCAATAAGGAAAAGCAATTTGGAAAATAAATCAGATTTTCACAAGCCCTGTTTGGTTTTGGAGGTGAAAGGTCATGTTACAAGGAGCTCAGAGCTCCTTAAGATGGCTGAATGGAACAAGCACGTGACAAGCAATTTTTTTTCTTTTTTTTTTTTCTTTTTTAAGATTTTATTTATTTATTTGACAGAGAGAGAGAGAGAGAGATCACAAGTAGGCAGAGAGGCAGGCAGAGAGAGAGGGGGAAGCACGCTCCGTGCTGAGCAGAGAGCCTGATGCGGGGCTTGATCCCAGGACCCTGGGATCATGACCTGAGCCGAAGACAGAGGCTTTAACCCACTGAGCCACCCAGGCGCCCCAGCAATTTTTTTTTTAATGCTGATAAAAACAAAGAGATATGAGTCGGATTTACCTCAGCAGTGGCTGGCTTGAAGTGCCATGGGGAGACGGCGATTTAGGTATGGTACAGACCTTTACCAAACTGGGTATTAGCTAAGAGAGTGGCTGTTTTTACTCTAGCAATGCGTTGTTTACAGAACAGGGCAGGCATGCTCTCTGTAAATTGTATCCCAGATGTCTGGGGACGGGTGTTGTGTCTAAATATAGTCAAGTCAGCTCATGTGTAGCCTCAGCGAGACCTTCACAGTAAGCATCCGATTATCGTGGGGAAAGTTACAGGTGTTTTGTAGAAAACAGTTGTCACAGTGAGTAACTTATCCTCAGGAGTTAAACTGGACCTTTAAAAAAATCTGAGCTAGCCCATTAAAGTCTGACAAGACTGAAAAGTTACGCAACTGCTATCTATGAAGACATGTATAATTTTGCTTGGTTTCAAGAAAGCTTATAAATCTTTGTAATATAAAGCATACCCATATTGAAAGGTAAGAGATTTTATATTGAACACATCTGAATGGAAATTTGCAATTGCCGGACATCAGATTTTGGAGGGAAGAAGTAGGGCGGGGTGGAGACTTAGTTCAGAACAGGAGCTAGAATTCGATCTGGTAGCCTTTGATTCTCACCTGTTCCTGGATTAATTTCAGAGACTGTTCTACGGCATTACAAGGAAACCAATGAAGTGGGGTTGCTTGGGAGTTAAGTAAGCAGAGTTCAAACAAACAAAAAGCTTTTTGCTTTGAATCCAGGCATGGTCACTCCTTCAGTAGATGGACACATGCTTATTTTCTGTGGCTTACTTGGGAAAAGAAAACATGGCAGCAGATGTTGATTGTTGGCTTAAATGCATTTATTAGTCCCTCAGCTGCTCTATTTAGTTTAATTAAACTGATAGCAGTGAAAATTATTTTAGTCAATAGTGGCTGCTATTCATTCATGGCTTGAGTTTCTCTAGTTTTGGAGAAAAATGATGGTTCCATAAGATTCATATCAAAATCTCTCTCATTTACCAGTTTGTTTAGCAAAAATACTAGGTGATTATCTATTGTGCGTTTATGGATCAGGCACTTCACCCATTTATTTCCAGTCCCCCCCACCTCAATCCTGTCCAGTTGTTGGTGGTGCTTGCCCCATTTTTCAGGGAAAAGTTAGGTGACTTCATGGGGGAAGCCACTGTCTTAAACTGGGATGCAGATCCTGGCCTGCCTGGCCCCTCTGTCTTTCCCCTGGGGAGCTGCTGGGCTCCAGCCCCATTAACTCCTCCCATCAGTCTCCTGCTCCCCCCCCCCACCCCACTATCCTAGTTCTTGAAGGAATAATGACAGACAGCAGGGGTCCCATGCACGTGTGCAGAGCTGAGTTCATCCCAGGAAAACAACAGGGGGATACATTCTCACACCCTCTGCCCCTGACTCATGGACCAACGGATTCCTCGTCCAACATTGTCGATTTGCAGTGGTTTGTCACTGACACCCCCACATGAACCTTTCCTGCGGGTTACGGTGACATTTAACTCCTTTGTCTTGCCATTGGAGGTCATATTAATAGAAATAGCAAATACACATAAGTGTCAGCCTTTTTTCTTCCCATCTTTCTTAGACCTAAGTCTTAGTGATGAAGACAATGTCAGTGGGTCAGAAAGCTGCGGAGCAGTGGGACAGGAAGCTGCGGGATAGTCTGCGGGGAAGCTGGCACTTGGCATATGGGACACTGCATTGAAATACTTTTGTTTCTTTATTTTATTACTTCTGTGGCCTGTTTTCTAAATGAACCTTTCTTTTTTTTTTTTTTTTTTTTTGGTCCTTTCTTTTGTGAAGCAAGCAACACTGAAATTGTTCAGAAGTCTACTATAATAATTTTGATGGGCAAATGCATTCATATGAAAAGAGGGATATCAAGTTCCCATCGGCTGCAAATACCGTTAGCTTTGTTGCCCCTTAAAGGTTTTCGTGAACATGCCAGGTAGAAATAAGCCCAAAACGAATCCAAAAGACCATTTCTCTAAGATTTTCCCAATCCCACCTTCTGGTCAGTTACCCTTTAGCTAGTGACAATGAAAGAAGCAGCAATCCTGAGTGGCATCATGTCATTCCACGTCTACCTTCTAGTGATCAATGAAGGGAATGAAATTTATTAAGCCATATACAGGAGGGAAAACATGATCATTACAGGTACTACAAATGACTATTTAAATGCATACATTTAAACATTGGATAGTGTAACTTTATTAATTTACTACTGCTCTGCTGAATAAGCTGGACTGATACAATCTCGTTGGAAAGCGACTATTATAGTTTTCTTATTTAAATATTCACAATAAAATCAATATTATGTCCAAAGTTCTCCAGAGTTTCACTCTGCAACCAAGTTGTTGACTTTGATAATAAAACAGATGTGTATGATTTTTAAAGCATTAGATTTCATCTCAGAAGCTGAAACTCGAAACGTAGTTGTTCCCCCAAATAATATTATTTATGATGGTGATTTTTGCACTTTCTTCAGTAAGATATCATGTTCCACTTTCTTAAGAATTACTGCTTTGCCACCAGATTTGATCCTATCAACCAACGTTTACTGGTGTGCATTACTTCAATTCTCCTTTTACTATATAATAGGAGCGTCACCTACTGGAAAGAAAGGATGCCCCCGAGCTAGTAACAGTAACTCTTCTTTCAGTTAACAGCTCCAAGAATTGGATGTCTGGCTTTTGAATAAGCTAATCCTTTTGAATAAGCAAGAAATCATAGTGGATAGGAAGGAAAACAGCGCAGTGTCGTGACTGGGAGGCCCAGCTCTAGTTAGATCATGTGTGACTCTCCTTAAACGATTTCGTTCCTTTGGCTCATTCCCCAGCTTTAGAATAGAGCCAACCATTGTACACACTTGAGCACGTGTGAGAAGGAAATGAGAGTGCGCTCAGCCAGCTTGCCTAGCTGTCGTGCATAGTCATCGCTATTTGGCCCCAGCTACTAATACAGTAAGGAGGTCTGGTCCCGCCCTTAGGATTTGTATCTTTCATAACATCCCATATTATCACTGGATATAAAAAAAAATAGGTGGATGATTGGCAGTTGGCTTCTCTCCTCTCCACCAGGTTCACTTGGTCGTTTCATTTATCCTGTGATATGTGTGTGACCCACATTTTATTCAGTGGAATCTCCTTTATGGGGTTTTGGCAAAAGTTCTGTAAGACCACAGTGTAGAAGTCTTGGTGTCTGTGTAGGCTTTCTCAAAGGTAGGAAAGCACGGGAGCAGTGAAGTGGTTTCTAAAGTAGGACTCCTTACCATGTTTCCACTAATTTATCTGACCTATTTAAGAAGCTTTAGACATGCCTTTCATAAAATTTGTTTCTAACAGCTAAGTGGCTTTATTGGAATCGCACTATCACTGATTAGCAGGGTTTTTAAAAATTACATTTATTGCGGCTCTTGGATCCAAAATAAGAGGAAGAATTAGTAGATAAGAATTAGTAGATAAGAAGACAGATACTAGTAGACATAATCCTATCACGTCGGGAATGTTTTCTCCCTAGTCAGCCTCTTGCTCTTCAGTTTATCAATCATTGATCCCCTTGAAATTAATGTTTTTCTGATTTGCATAGTCTGCATGTTTAATCACAGTAAAAACCTCCAGCATGATCTCCCATGTCTGTTAAATAGAATCAACAGTGCTGATCCTGTTTATATTACAAGAAAATTACTGTGCACCAACCCAGTATCATCTAAAACCTCCCAGACAGACTACAGTGGGAGAGATGGGTGTGGTTGGATGCCAAGTGGCCCTGGGGGAAAAAAGGAAGGGGTGATTTCCATATAAGAGGCACTGATTTTTCTAATGGGAGGGTTGCAAAAGGCATGTAAAGAAGGGGAACTGGGGGGGGACATGGCAGGTCAGTGCCTTTTTCATCAGGGTATGGGGCTGAGGGATCAGTACTGCCACTGGTACATGGAGAATCAGTGAGACCTGAGTGAGCCCTTGGCACTTTTCAAGACCATTTCCAGAGCTGACAGCAGTCTGCTCCTTCCAACCTGTGACACCCCTTTCTAGGGCCCTCCTAGCTTGTTCCACAGTTCAGGACTCAGGGAAGGGCTCCTCGATCCCCTTGGCAACTTGCTGTAGCCCCTTTATACCCTAGGGCAAGCTGTAAGGTCAAGGCAGTCTGGGGGTGCAGAGAGAAGAGGGGACAAGCAGGGCAGGCGTGGAATGTAGGGAGTGCATGTTCTAGAAGCTATCCCTGCTGAAAGTGTCCCGAAAAAGTGAAACATATATGTTTGTGGCATAATCCTTCACTTCTTTGGAGAATAGTTCAAAAGGTCCAGGAGTTCTGGGATAGATCAGTTCCAGAACATGCATTATATTCCACTGTGTTTGGAAACTGCCCATCTGGATCCTGGAGACAAGAATCAGATTTCCTGCTAATGTGGAACAGGTATTGTGATCATCTTGTTGAACACAGACTCTGAAGAGTGTGTATTTCACAGTAACTGATTGTATCTGCTAGGGTTAGAACAGATGACTCACAGATCTTGTTTTCTTTCTTTTCCGCCAGGTTCCTGGGCAGATCGGTCACCACTACACGAAGCAGCAAGTCAAGGTCGCCTTCTCGCTCTGCGAACATTGTTATCACAGGTAAAATAGTACTTATGGCTTGAAATATGTCCCTTTCCCATGAGCCTAGAACATTAATTTTCAAGAATAATCAACGCGACAATAAGAAAGCTGCCTAGTAAATGTCCCCTCTCTTTTTTGTTTTAACCCCTATTATCAGTCAGTTCATTCATTTCCATTTATCTTTGAAATTTCTTTATAAATATTTTGGTATAATCTTATGTCTTAATAGTTCCCATTTCTCATAGAATATACCTGTTCACTGATAGACCTAGTTCAGCAAGAAGGAATTGGATGTCCGTATTATTCATTAAGCACTTCACACACACTTTATAACTTTATACAATGTGGACAGCTTTATACAACACGCTTTATAACTTTATACAATGTGGACAGCTAATTGCAAAGGAAGTTTTACTCATAAAATATACAAAAAGGGATCATCAGAGCAGAAGCCTCAGCAATCTTTTTTACATTAACGGTAACATGTGGTGGAGAATTGCCCACAGACGGGACAGAACAATCATTTTTCCACCTCCCTCCTCCTCAGATTCATCAGGGAAAAAATGAAAAGCAGAGGTGCTTTACCAGCGTGGAAAGGACTCTGGGTTGGCCTGTGCATTTTTTAAATTTCCCAACGTGATTCCAATGTACACCCAGATCTGGAAGTCATTGTCCTAGTCCTTCCCAGTATCGGGGAGAAAGGGATGTTCTCAGACGGCTGAAAGGGAAGGAAAGGTGGTGTTCCTCTGGGACTTTAAGGCACCTGGACTCCAGGCTGTACTTAGAGTGAGTCATGATCTCATGCCCCTCATTTCCTTACCTAGAGAACGAACATGTAGGTCCGGAGGCTCCTTTGGGGCTCTCCAGTTCCATGATAACCATGCGGCCATTTTCTTTGCTCACCACTTGATGAGAATAAAAACAAAAAAACAACAACAAAAAGACACCCGCAAAAAAAGTCAGTGATTTCTAAAGGTAACCCCTAGCTCCCTACCCCCTACTGAAAGGGTCATTCCATTCTCTGAAAGGAGAGCGGTCTTAGGATATTTTTCAACATGTATCTCGTATCCACTGACACACCAGCCCGAAGAGTCAGAAGCTGCCCCGAAAGCCCAACGTGAAAGGGAATCTGGACCTTTGCGGACTCTGCCACCTGGTCAGCCCAGCGTGGGGCAGTTAGGAATTAGCTCCCCGAGTCTGACCGCTGGCTAGACAATTCGAAATCTTTGAAAGGATAACTGAAAAGATCTAAGAAGTTGCCACTTGCTAGTGACCAAGATCTGGCAGGGTTATTTCCTTGCCTTCATTTTAAGATTCCTCCCATCCGTGCTGGTATTACAGACATGGTAATTCTTAATGCTATGGGGATTTGGATGCAAAAATCTTCCTAAGATAGTGCTTGGTATGATTGTCAATAGACAATGAGTTGCCAAAAATAGCAAGAAAGCAAAGAGTCTCATGTACTAAGAAGATTTCATTATTTTAGTCTGACATTATTAGTTTAACTAGAATAAGGATGTTTAAAGTGTTTACTTGGTTTTGATTGGATAAGCAAATAAAGTGGAACAATTTCTATCTGCTCGACACTGTAACAATAATTGCTTTCCATGCATCATGTCATTTAATCCTCATAATGACCCTAACATCTAAAGGTTAGTGTACTCATCCAAATTAAAATAATTACTGCATCATGGAACAGGGCTTTAAACCTAAGTGTAACTGACTTCATAATCAGAGCTCTCAATCTAGTATAGACCTTTGTCACTCCTGTCTAGGGACAAAATTCACAAAGCAGCTTACTACAATTTAGAGTACTCCTACCCCCCCACCCCGGTCTGGACTGATATAACTAATATTACAGCTCCAATCAAAACAAGTGATCCAGCCTATGAATAGTCTTTAGTTCTACAAAACAAAACAAAACCAAAACAACAATAACAATCAAAACAATTCATAAAGACCAAAGAAAGTTAAGGAAGGAGAATTTTTAAAAAACATGCTCAATCTCTTAAAATACATAAGGCGCTCGGGTTTAGAAAGGGTTGTGTTATAATAATGAGGAGTTTTGACAACTGATTGACTCTATGGAATCAGAATTGGCCTCCCCTGCTGAACTTAAACCTGATTTCCTGAGAGTCTTTGATCTTGTATGTCCCTAATTATATTTGTATAGATGATTTCATATAACTTTTTGCTCACCTTTCAATATGATTCATATCATATTTAGGGTTATAATGTAAATGCAGTAACCATAGACCACATCACCCCCTTGCACGAAGCCTGCCTCGGAGACCATGTGGCGTGCGCCAGAACTCTACTGGAAGCTGGAGCTAATGTAGGTACCCATCCAAACCATAAATGATTTCACATCTACTGACTAAGAGAACGGAACAAAGTTCTCACTTTGCTTTTCTTTCCTTCTTAGTAGTTTTCAAAAATAGCAGAATAAAAATCATATTGCTTCAGTCCCTTCAGTGTACTCTAGGAAGGATTTCCAATCATTGCAAAAATGGGTAGCATTCTGCATAATAATACAGAAACACTCTCTAAGTTATTTCCCGCTTCCGTGATTCTAAACAACAATGAGTAGACCTCTTGATGCCTGTAATAGTTGCCCATCTATTGGATGATTTTCTTTAGATGGATTCTCAGAGAATTTCCAAGTTCACTAATTCACATTGCCACCAGCAGGATGACCTGCCTCATCACAACTCTTGTCAACATTCGTGGACCTGTTTTCCTAAGTGAAAGGCACCTAACCATTGAATTAGTTTCTGTGTATTTGATTCTGGATATGTATTTCTTTTCATGACATTTACTAGCTGCATGCCCACTCTTGCAAATTACCTGCCACATCATATTTCTGTTTCTCTCTTGGCTTTTAAAAGCTTTGCTTATTGATGTGTAGTAGTTAAATATACTTGGTTGTATTTACTGCACACGTTTTCCCAATGATTTCTGTTGGATCGTGTACCTATTTTAAATGCCTCGCATTTCATCACGGAGGACTGTGAGTCTCAATCTTAAACTTTGGCTCGGTTCAGGTAAATGCCATCACAATAGATGGAGTGACCCCGTTATTCAACGCATGCTCACAAGGCAGCGCTAGCTGCGCGGAACTTCTTTTGGAATATGGTGCCAAACCCCAGCTGGAGTCCTGTCTTCCTTCTCCCACCCATGAGGCCGCCAGTAAAGGTAACGTAGTTATCGGAGTCAGTGACAAGGGGACAACATTCCTTTAGCAAAATGCAGTGCTCCATTTTTCTTCCAATGGGTCACTGCAGGCAACAGCGTGGGGTGAGGTGCAGGGGGATAGATATTGAAGAAAAGTAAACTCATCTCTACCTTATGTTGGCAGGTCATCATGAATGCCTAGAAATCCTGATATCTTGGGGCATAGACGTTGACCAAGACATTCCTCATTTAGGAACTCCTCTCTATGTGGCTTGTATGTCACAACAGTTCCACTGCATCCGGAAGCTTCTTTATGCTGGTAATTTTCTTTAAAACATCTCCCATTCTATCCATACTCACAAGCAATGATTCAGGTCCATATTTATTTCTCTACATAATCTGTATAAAGATATCTCATTGCTGAAAGTGTTCCTGGGGTGCCTGGGTGGCTCAGGCAGTTAAGCATCTGTCTCTTGATCTCTTGATCTCAGCTCAGGTCTTGATCTCAGGGTCTTGAGTTCAAGACCTGCACTGAGCTCCATGCTGGGTGTGGAGGCCACTTAAAGAAAAAAAAATGTTAAGCATTGTTGCATGTAGGTATATAACCCACAATAAAAGAATTGCGTTCTTGATAACTCTACTTCACCCCACAAGTCCAAAAACCCCACTTAAAAAGGTCATAAAATTTAAAACCTCAAGGTTGACTATAATGTCACCAAATATGTATCTGTCCATGAATAAATCCATCAAAAGAAATTTTAAGGATAGTAACGGCTTAGATAACCTTATCTTCTACCAATAAGAACTCATGTGTTTTCTCAGACTTTGTCCTGTCCCATTTACCGAAAAGGACTGAATGGCCTTTTCCTCTTACTTGAAACACACCAGTTCCTCAAGGCTCAACTTTAGCCTCTTGAGAAATTTGCCTTAATCTTTTGAGACCATAGTGGCATCTCCCACATAGGAATGGGAGCTCTTCGAAGGATGTGGATTATGTCCTTTCCCCCATCAACTCCTTTCCCTACCACAGTGCCTGTCATATGGTAGGGGCCTAAAATACATGTAAAATGAGTAAATGGACTTCTAGGCTCTTTACTGTTTATGCAATCATTTGGCCTCTGATACACACTGACAGAGAGTTTTAGTAAACTCTTCCTGTGTTCCTCACATTATCTTAGCTAAGTTATAAGCTTCTTGTAGGCAGTTTCTGCAGTTCACTCCCATTACATCTAGTAAGAGTCTTAAATGTGACCTCTGCTAGTCAACATTGACACATTGCTATTTTCTGGCTGTGGTCTCCCATGAATTCGTAGAACTAGAAGAGTTTTTTATTGCCTTGTTTTGTTTTGTTTTACTTTGCTGAGAATATTAATCTTTCCACCAAATATTTTATATTGGGTAAAAAAGATACTGAGAAAGTATTACAGTAATTGTGGATTGATTGTTATTATCAGGCTCTGTTCTCCCATAAAATTAGCATAAGCAACAGAGTTTATGCTTTCTCTATGGAGAATTTTGTTATGGGCTATCATTCTTTTACTAAACATTTTATATTTTTAAAAATAAGAAAACAATTACATTTATTGAGATTTGAAAGTAGCAGGAAGGCCTAAAGGGACTCTTAAAAAGTATTGCTTCTTGTAAACATCATTAGTTTTAACAATAGTTTCAGAAAACCGAGTTGAAAGGACTTATGCATTTTTACTGATAGATATTTCTCGGTGTCCTAACCACTTATGTACTGGAAAATGAGGTTATTATTCTTTCCAGCATTATACAGTATTTATTTGTTGCACATGCATTGAATGATTACCACGTGCCAGGGCTCAGACTAAGAAAAAATAACTATGCAATAATAAATAATTTAACAGGTAAGGTTTTTTTTTAATGCACAGTTTTTAAAAAAATATTTTATTTATTTATTTGACAGAGAGAGAGATCACAAGTAGGCAGAGAGGCAGGCAGAGAGAGGGGGGGAAGCAGGCTCCCCGCTGAGCAGAGAGCCCGATGTGGGGCTCGATTTCAGGACCCTGAGTCCATGACCCGAGGCGAAGGCAGAGGCCTAACCCACTGAGCCACTCAGGAGCCCTAATGCAAGATTTTTTAAAAACTTTACTTTGCGTGTAGAAATACAATGTGCCTTTCTACTTAAAGATGCTCAATGCTTTTGTATATTTACTGATTTATACTCTATGAGTGAGAAGTGACAGGAAAATCTGTATTCATTTTACCTAAATGGCTCACACATCTAAATTCATGAGTTTTCCAGGAAACAAAAAGAGCTCTATTGCCTCAAAATAAATGAAAAGACGAAGAGCATTAAGCTCTTAAACAATCCTAAGAAATATCAATTACAATGAAAGCAGATATGAGTGAATCCAATTGTTTATAATACTCTGTTTATAATACTAGTTAATAGGATTACTTTGGAGACTTCAAAAAATGTAGAAATATTGTTGACTATGGCATCTTTCAAGCATAGAGAAAAAAATATTAGGGAACGTAAGTGTGTGTACTCTCTACCCAGATGTACCAAGTTGTAAGATTTAATATCTGTATATGTATATATGAAGTGTATGTATATATGTATATGTAGAGAGAGAAAAATAACTCATTACATACAGGGGTGAGGTTCTCTTGGTGTTACACCTTCCTACCTGCGCTGAGGTACCTGACTGGTCTAACAGTTTTGGTTTGCATTTATCCTCATTCCTTATTTACATGTAGGTGCTGATGTACAAAAAGGCAAATATTGGGACACTCCATTACACGCTGCTGCCCAGCAGTACAGCACGGAAATTGTAAACTTACTGCTCGAGTTTGGAGCAGATATCAATGCCAAAAACACAGAGCTTCTGCGACCTGTAGATGTAGCTACTTCTAGCAGTTTGGTGGAAAGGTTATTGCTTCAACATGAAGGTAAGAATGCGTGCACATTTAAAAACACAAAAATATATTTTTTATATATATAAAAGTAGACAAAACTGAACAACTTTTTGTTGGCATATGAGCTGATAACAGCATAACATTTAAAATGCTTTGTGTGAAAGCAGATAATTTTTTTTAAAGCAGATAATTTTTTTGACTTAGTTTCTCTCTATAAAGAAGATATCACCATGATCTTAATTTTCTCTCTTTCATCTCACCTAAGCTTTATATTCATTTGGTTAAGTTAAAAGTTCCATTTGTTTTAACGATACATAATATGCAATTCTGTTTAATGTCTGCTAATAAATATTTGGAAACTTGCCTTATTTTCTAAGGGCATGCAGCTTCTATGATATGTTGTAGAAACAGAATCAGGAAATATTTTCACACCTAAGGCTTTTGTTATTCATAAAGAATCTCTCTCTTTTCTTTTAAGTTTTATTTATTTAAGTAATCTCTATATCCAGTGTGAATCTCGAACTCACAACCCCAAGATCAAAAGTTGCATGCTCTTCCAACGGAGCCAGCCAGGCACCCCTTAAGCAGATTTTCTTAAGCCTGGTTCAGAAACTATAATAAAATGCATTTTGGCTTATCTAGTAAGCCTAATTTGAGAAAAAAATATAATGTAAAATTTCTCCCTTTAGTGCCCAACACTTCTTGAGGCTTTTGATTTATATCTTCCTTGAAAAGCAGAATTTATTTCTGAGGTTTGAAATGCAACAACAGTACCATAAGCCTGAAGATGTTAATGTTTTAAAGAACCCATATGGAGGGGGGCCTGGCTGGCTCAGGTGGTTAAGCGTCTGACTTTTGATCTCCACTCAGGTCAAAGCTGAGAGTCATGAGATCCAGCCCTGCATCAGGCTCCTGCACCAAGAGGAGTCTGCTTGAGATTCTCTCTCTCCCCCTCCCTTGGCCCCTTCCTCCCATGCGTACTCTCTTTCTCTCTCGAATAAATACATAAATCTTTTTTTTTTTTTAAAGAACCCATATGGGATACACCACAATTATAATAAAACTTATAAATAACAGCAATAGAAATGCTTTTGCAAATGCCCCTGGTATAGTGGTCATACTACCCTAGTTTGCTTGAAAGCACTGTAGTTTATTTATGGTTTATTTCATGCATCTTTTAGCATACACAAGTCAATTTCGATTTTAATTAACAAATACCTTCCTGTCTTTTGCAGCTACTCCAAGCACTCTTTGCCAACTTTGCCGACTCTGTATCCGAAACTACATAGGGAGATCAAGATTGCACCTTATCCCACAGCTCCAGCTGCCAACATTATTGCAGAATTTCCTACAGTACCGATAAAGCAGTGAAATAATTCTGAATACTTTCAAACTCATTTCTATTTCATCTGCATAGTGTATATTTTATATTGAATTATGTTACCGATAGAGTGTAAGTGACTGGGGGGCCCCAGGACAGAGGCGAATTTAAATTTTAAGTGCACTAGTGAGTACTACTGTTTTATGCATTTTTACTGTATTTTGGACTATAGCATTTTTAACATCCCTAATGTTATTAGTCATTCCCATGTACCCTTTTGGATTTGGGGGGGACAAGGGGGGAGGAAATCCCCATTTCTGTCTTTTTAAAGTGAAAAAGAGAAAGTGAACTCTTACTGAAATTACTTATTTTAAAATGCTTCCATTCTTCAAATAATGCATTAACTTTTAAGTGTTCCACTGTCATTGATTATCTCTCTGTATTTTTCATATTAATGCAAAATATGCAAATGGTTTAGAAAATAGCAACTAATATCCTTTTTGAAATAAAGATGGCTATCATTCAGGAAACCCACTATGCTGAATGTGCACCTGTCGTTACAATGATCAGCTTGTGAAGAAGAGATAAATTGTCCCTCCCTGCAAAGGTCGCACTAGTCACTTCACCACCTTCAATGTCCCCATTCCAGAAACTGGTGGGACTCTGGTTATGCCTCCTTTGGTCTCATCCTGAGATGGTTGGTACATTATACCCCTGCTAAGGCTGTTTTAAGACCTCCTCCTTCTTCAGGGTAGCCTCTGAGGGTCTCTCTTTAGTGCATTGTACATAAACTCCAGCCTTCTTGCACCTCAGAAACTGTCTCTAGCTGGTAGGGTTTGGACTGAAGGAATTGAGCTTCATACCCAATTGATAAAGAGGCCTCCGATCACGCTGCAGGATCAGGGCCGTCCAAGGCTGTGGCAAACAGATCGAAATCTTCTTAAATTGTGGGGTTTTCAAAGAAAAGAAAGAGCGGGTGCCACTTAGCAAACTTAGAGTCCTTATAAAATTTACCCCATACATGGACCTTTCTAGTGCTGTTTCTGGTCCTTCTTACACAAAGCAAGGGTTCAGCGTAGACTGTATTAGCAAGGGAGTATCGGGGTACAAAGTAGTGTCCTCTGCAAGGATTAATACTGTGTTTATTATCTTCTGCTTTAACTGTACTTCCATGCAGTAGAAAACATAGTAAAACAAATTTTGTGCCTCCTTTGTAATTTAGACTAGATTTGAGTCTATTGTGGACTAAGAAATAAAATAATCTGGATACTCACAACTGTGGGAAGTAGAAAATATTTTAATGAGTTTTATAAATTAATCAAATTTTGATAAAATATTTTGATCACTATTTTAATAACCCAGGGGCCTATATTCCTTTCTTTTTAGTTCTTAGCTGACTTTTGGAGACCCATGGGAAGTACACTATTCTTGAATATAACTGCAAAGTCACTAAGATTGCATTTTTTAAAAATCATGTTTAGATTTTCAAAAATAGAAGGCTGTAGCATGTTGTTTAAAAATGTCTTTTATGTGGCTAGAGAGTTTTATATAAGTCTATTTTACTGAATATCCCAGCCTAACAAATTTGTAATGTCCTCGTGAATAATGTGCATTCAATTTCTTTATTATTGAGTAACCTCATTACATATAATTAGGTATTCAGACTGCTTTTCTAGTAAAACAGGTTTCTATTACTATTTTCCCCGAGCTAGAGGTAGTCTTAGAGTGTAAGGTAATGTGATTCATCCCTTTTCTTTGGTTCTGTACCAATAAGAGAAGTAAATAACAAATATGAAAATTAAAATGGACACCTTAAAATTTTAGTGTGCTGGTATCTTGTATCTTTGCTTGAGTGTGATTGTCTTATCAAAGAAGTGTTCTCATTTAAATATATCATCTGTTTGTTAATATATTAAAGTGTGACTATTATTCCTGGAATAAAACACCTTTTCTTTTCTCTCTAATTAGTATTTGATTTTCTAATTGAAGGTAATGGAGAATAAGATTCAATTGCTCTAATTTTTTTCCCCTCCAGTTTTCAGATCATTGTATAATGGGCATTAGGCATAGAGTAGTGCACATTGAAATAGACACCTCAAAGGTCTTTTAATCCAAATCTTATTATATGTGCATATGTGCACATACATGCATAAAGATCCAAGGACAAAATTCCACAAAGGCAAAGACCAAGCCAGACCAAACTATTGGACTTGAGATTAAAGAAATGCAGTGAAATGAACATTGTAGCAAGTTTTAGACAGTGATCAGGGGGCAGATCACGAAGGGCCTTCCTAAGGAAACTCACAATAGGAAGATCAAAAAACAGACTTGCTTCTCCTTGAACTCATCTTGCCTCCCTGTCTTTGCAAATGCTGTTCCCTCTGCCTGGAAGGCAGCCTAACTCCTTCCGCTACTTTGTATTGCCTCTTCCCACCATCCATTAGCTAAAATACTACTCTTCACTTCCAGTTGCACTAAGAATGGTGTGTTTCTCGTTCAACAAAATATTTATATCAAATAAAGCTCTCTGAAGTTTCTACTGACGGGTGATAAGTCAAAGACAACCACTGACTTGGATGGCTGTTTGGCTCCTGCGGAAGCTGGGTGGCTCTTACTGGGGGACTGTGGTTATTGTACACTTCATTCAGACAGGAACACCAATTAGAGCTGCTTTCCTATTTGAAGGGTCCTTACTGGAATAAATCGCTCCAGTCCCTAGCAACCGTGACGCTGTTCCTGATCTGGGGAAGTACTTCCCCCCCTCTATAATAATCTGCGAGAATGACCAAAATTAGTGTGCTTTAATTAAGAAGGAGCAATAGTGCACACTCAGGATCTTGCCTCAGTCAAATCTCTTGTTCTCTGTCACAAGATCAGCTGAGTTTCGGAGAGTCTGAACATCCCACAGAACTTCCCACAGGTCCGTTCTGTTGATGATATCTCACTGACGGGATCTGAGGAACAGGGAGTAGCACATTCCTCCGATGACTTGGTCAGAGGCAGGTCAGCTAGTGGTGGAGAGAAACATTACCCCACCTATGAAGCGGGGTATCACTCAGCATCCGGTCAGGAAGGCAGCTGGAACTATGCACATGAAACACGAATTTAATATAAGGGAGGGTTAAACAGATGCTGACCAACTGAAAAACTAAAGCGGGACCATTATGGTGTGGGAAACAAAGGCAAAAGAAAAATAATTAAATTTCCTGACTACTTCCAGCCCACTGACAAGTCGCCAAAGCAGGCAGAGTGACTTCTGGGGACTCAACTACCTTGATGTTGATACTTTGCTAGGGGCAAGAGGCAAGCCTAGCCTGACCTCCCCTTCCCCTACCCCAGGACCGTGTAAGCCTACTTTAACATATAAAAATTCCTTTAGAAATGTCCTTTATCTGTAAATCCCCCAAGATACATGCTGGCAATCATCCCCAAAGCATATAACCCACCAATATACATCTAAAGGGTCTCATGATGAGTGTTTTATGAGACAGTAATAAATGACCTTTCCCTAACAATAGCTAGCCCCCTCAAGGTTCTGGAAACCTTGCTTCCAAAATTCCTTAGAGACTTTCATTATCCATAACCCCCTCCCAACTTCAAAGTATCTAAAGGGCCACTCCTCATGACCGCATTGCCAGGACCTCTTTCTGCCCACGGGTCCCATCCCTGTGCTTTAATAAAATCACCTTTTTGCACCAAAGACTTTGGCCCTCCGCTTCGAAACCTAATGTCTTTCCTACGTCAGTCAAACTAACAGAAATAGATGATTCAGAAAGCAATTGCCACTGCTAGAACAGATTTAAGAAATTAGGGTTATAAGAGCCTAGAACTTGGAGGGAAAGTTCCATAGAATGACTCTTGAAGGGGGACGGTAACTACGGGGCTGGTGTCAACTCTTCCAGAGCTCAGAAGGGCCGTCCTGGAGTAAAATCCCTGTCTCTGGAAGGAGGGTCACTTCTCAGCGTTTGCTAAACATCTGAGCGAGTATGATGAAATCTGCTCCAGGAGAGCTAAAAAAAAAAAAAAAAAAAAAAAAAAGTTGGAGACTGGAACCAGCTGTCACTGCCAGGTTAAGCTTTGTTGCTGTGGTGACACCCTGGTGAAAGGCAAGCAGAAGGGGAAACAGCAAATCCCCCTTCCCTTCTCTCCTTCTCTTCCCCTCCTGGCCTCTCTCTAGCTCCCCCTATTGTCACAATTTAATAAAAGTTTTAGCAAAGGAGAAATCACACTGTGGCATTCCAACAAGCTAAGTATAGAATGGTGTGTCTGGAACAGAGATGTGTCTGCCTAACAAGTGGCACCTTTATTACAGGAAAGGTCTGACTTTTAGCAACACTGCTCAATTGGGCCCTAATCTCCCACCTTAGCCGTTACTACCTGAATATTGCGTTAGAATTTATGCCAAAGCCTAGGCACTTTCTCTAACCCTAATGAGTTATTTCCCCAAACTCATTCAAAGACTCTCAAATCTCAGATGATATCATCTGTGCTTTTGCACATAGCAATCATTCTGTGTGGAACTTCTCCGTCGCCCTCATCCCACAGATTCCCTATCTTAGAAACAATAATTTACCCTTGTTCTAGGCTCTTTGCATATTGTTCATTTAATCCTTAACACAACCCTCTGAGGTACACACTATTTATTTTCTTCTTTTACAAATAAAAATGGTTATATAACTTGCCTGAAGTCACATCACTAATAAAAAGTAGACCCAGTCCTCCAAAACCTCTGTCATAAATAATCTAAAATACTGCCTTATAAGATGCAAATCAAGGTCACTTCCTCCAAAAGGACTCCTAGAGTCCCTCAGGCCAAATTGTTTGCTTCCTCCCTGATACTAACATATATTTATTGTGGCAGAGCTTTTCAGTGTACATGATCTTTTTACTGATATTTATATCTGTGTACCTTCTATAAATAACCCAGCACACAGCTGTCTAATGGAACCTCCCGCAATGACAGGGTAGCTGCACTCTACAACACAGCCACTGGCCACATGTTGGTATTAAACAGTTGAAATGTAGCCAGCGTTACTCATCTTATTTTATTTAAATTTAAATCTAAATCACCACAGGCAGCTTGTGGCTACAGTATTGGATCATGAAGATCTAATGTATAACATAGCACAAAAGGGCTCCTCAAAAAACAAAAATTCACTGAATGAATGAACCCTTAAAGGAAAACTTCATTGGGAAAGAAGAAAACACTTTCCTATCTTTTTTTTTTAAACCATATACAGATTCATTAATAAATGTGTTTATGAGTAAACATTCAGCAAATATCATAGACCTCCACTATCAAGATCTAGCCCATATTTTATCTTGCATAATAATAATAATATAT